GACACCACAGAACCTACTATTCCATGAAACTCTCTACCTGGCCTGTGACTCCAGTCCCACTGTCTCCTCTGCTATTTTTTCTGGACGCACCTACAATCTGTCGCATGCTCTTCACCATCCCCCGTGGGACAGGGACTTGATCTGGTCTGACAAGGCTGCATCTCAGTTCATCACACAATGGACGGTGGTCGTGTGTAGGGTCTTCATTCAGTTTTGATGCAATGCATCAACAAATGAAAAACAAAACACTCTCAGCAGCCAGGGGAAGCTATGGTGGGACTTCTGGATGATGCTAACATAGACTGGCTAGCTCCCCTCCCTTCTGTAAAACAGGCCACTTCTTCCCACCCACAGTTTAGGAAAACACACCCCCTATTAGATGGGAATATTTGAGAATATTGAAAATGCTAACTCCTCCTTCTCAAAAGTCACAGTGGCAAAACTACTTTTCTGGAGATTTCAGCTGAATCCTAGAACTGTCCGGTTAACTTCTGAGACACGCCCTCAAGCCTACCAGAGCCCACCCCTGACTGGAGGGCTTTGTGCACTAATGGGTCAACCTCGGTTCTATTTTTAAATACCATGGATTGAGTAATGTTAATTCTCATAACACCTAGTGGACACTCCTTGAACTCACATTTCACTTACAAACCTGTGTGGGACCTCTGTGAACGCACTCCAGTCCATGGTGGAACAAAAACCACCTATTAAGATACAGACTCAGGCTTTAGGTTCTCTCTGTGACTGTCCTTCTACTTTGCATAGCTGAGAACGCACAATCTATTGCACCCCTAAGAAGCCTCCTTACCATATACAATGCTTTATTCTGCTGCTGGCATCCATACTAGAAGCCAAATTTGGGTCTATAGCCATAGTGGGGGATGAGGGGCTGGACCTTGAGGGTAGAGTCTGGAAAACAACATTGACAAGGTCCTGACAGTGGCCTCTGCAGACGCCTTCTAGTCCATGCACAGAGCAAGCTAGCCAGAGGTTCCGGGGAGCTGGCAGCTTTGTACAAACCTCAGCCCCAGCTTCCCCAGAACAACGTGAGATGACCACACACCTCTTCCTAGTGGGCAGGACCCAGTTGCCACAGTGCTGTTTGCTTTTCATCATCCTTTTCCATCACAACCCCCTCCTACCCAGCACCTCTTGGTATCACTCCCCAAATACACTACATGTACTGACATTCCAATCTTGAGCTCATTTAAGAAGAACCTCAGACCCTCCACAGGGGAAACTTTCTGTTTCAATAGTGTGCCAACTGTTAGCTCCATCAGGAACCTTGACAGGCTGGAGCACACAGTCATCTTCATAGGTCTGCCATCAACCAAGGGTTCACAGGGACATGGAAAGAAAGATACTTGCCTACAGGTGAGCAAACACAGCTATGCACAGTCTATGAAAGAGATTCCTGACCACCAGTGCTGGTCCCTAAGTCAGAGCTGACAAACACATTAAATATATTCATTAAATGTTTCCACTATCACTAAAATGTTCTCCTACCAGGCATTTAAAAAAAAAATAAAGACCGATTCCCAGGGAGGCTGGAGCAGTTGTTTGCTGCTGCATGGGGCAGGTGCCACGGCTACGCCACAATACAGAATTCTCCTTTGTGAGATGACTTACTGACACCAGAAAGGCATGTAACTCTGTCCAAAAAAGGGAAAACTATGACGAGCCGTCTATAATTGCTACTCATTTTGTGCTAGGCTGTGTTCAGAAAAATCCTTGAACTGACGGCTCCAAACAATGCAGCATAAAGTAATGGAGAAACGAATCAGCATCAGGCAGAAACTCTTATTGATGTCCATCCTCTCCTCAAAACAGTCCAGTTGGCTGGCAGCATATCACCGGTTCCCATCCATCAAGAAAATGCATCAGGCCATCCTAGAAACGGTGCGGAGAGAGCTAGCTACTCTGCAGGGCCCAGTCTCCTAAAGCACAGAAACACGATCTCAAAACCATAGTGTTATACACATGGACTCCGACACCAAACTAGAACCAAACTTAGCCATGGTTGTGAGGCATCTTCAGATGCCCCAACGTAAGCTCCAAGAACGATGGCATTTAAGCTGTTTCTTTGGGAACAGCCCCTACACCTTCATCCACACATGGAGGGACCACCATATGTCTTTGGGAATACCATAATACTCCTAGTGCCTGAAACAGACAGAAAGTGTTAAACTTACCTCTCTCAAAAATCCCCCATTATAAAACACCAAAAGGTCAACGTTTTACTGAAGACAAGCCTGTGTTTGCTATCTCTGGTGTTGATTTTTTGGCTCTCTCATGACTGCTTTTTTGGGGTTACTCATGTGATTTCTTTCCCTTATTTCTCTTCCGCTCTTCTTTTTGATAGTGTCTATATCTATGTATGTATTGAGAGCGGCACACACACCACATAACACATGTGAAGAACAACCAAGGGAGACGACATTAGTCCACCTCTCCTGAGCATGCAGGGAGAGGAGGCCAATGGTGAACCGGGAGAACAGTTACCACACACCAAGAAAAGGAAAAGGCCAAAACTCTGCAAGTTTTACTGAAGATTTAGTGGCAAAAGGACAAGAAGAGGCCGAGCCCGCTTGCTGTGAGCAGTGGGATGGAGTGAGAACTTCTCTGTTCAGCCATAGATGGATGGCAGTCCCCATTTAGCCTAAGAATACTCCCAGTCATCAAGGTGGGACACCTAGACCCGTGAAAAAGGACAGAGATATAATGCCAAGGTGACATGGTCTTCAGCCCAGGCGTGGTCCTGAGCCATGGCTATCATCCCTGCTGGCTATCCAGGCTATGTCCCTCAGCAGCAGTTGCCAATGTTACATGGGACAGACATCTAAGTAGATAGGTCTAGTCAGATCAAACCATCGAGGTAGTTTGTTTTGTAGCAACAAATGGCACAAGTCTACAGCTGGTTTAAACAAAGTTCTTTGTAATCTATGCATTTGACATTCTGCTTGTGTGGGAATGGAAATCAGAGGAGAGCTAGCAGTATCATGGAACTTGTGTGTCCTGCTATGTGAGTTACTTTTGTGTTGGAGTGACCAAAAGACCTGACAGAAAAACTTAAGAAAAGAGCTGGTTTCTGTTGTTATTGTTGTTGTTGTTTTGGCTCATAGTCTTAGAAGGTTCAGGTTGTTGCTGTTTAGGTCTATGAGACTGAACAGAACATTATGACTTTAGGAGTTTCTGGTAGATAGCAGTTGTTCATGTTACAGATGACCAGTAAGCAAAGACAGTAGACAGGAAGTGACAAAAGACACTATACCCTGAAGGAGTCCCTCCCAGTGACATACTTCTTCTAGCTAGGTTCACTTCTCAAAGTTTCCAGAATTTCCCACAACAGCATCACTAACTGTCGAGCAAGCTTTCAAATTAAGAGCCCATGTTAGATATTTCAGATTCAAACAAGAATATCAACTGTTTGGAAAAACTAAAGAAATTGAGGTGGCCCCTGAGTCCCACGAGGGACACTGAAGCTATGACCAACAGGCGCGCGGAGAAAAGAACAGGGGAGCTGCCAAAGTGTATTATGCAAGCAGAATTCTAGACCATGCTTGCGTTCCATGGGGACTCACTCCCAGAGCCTGGTGCCCTATGTCAGGTAGAAGCCGCTCCATCTGTGCTCCTTGAAATTAATTCCATAGGCTAATTAGTAACTCTCCATTAGCCAGGAGACTGGGATCGCCAACACCTCATGTTTTAGAGTTCACAGTCTTGTGCACAGCCATAAAACCATCTCTCATTGCCTCATTATTGAAATTCTACTACATTGAAAAATACTCCTACTTTCAGAAAGAACTCATCAGGAACTATGAAGCAGTTTTGATTGACAGATAACATCCTCCTCCTCCCACCTATAAACACACATCTGCCATTCAGTGTTGGCATTGATATTTTCCTTTTGCAGAGGCCCCCACCAGGCATGCTGCATGCATTATAGAATTTTTGCTTTTACAAACTCTAAATTGTTTTTTTTCCACACATTTTTACTCTGAAATTCTAAACCCTAGTACCTGGATATGTGATTGATTTAGAGACAGGCCCAGAAAAGAGGCAACTAAAGGGTTAGATGTGGTGTTGCATGCTTGTAATCCCAGCATTTAAAAAGTGAAAGCAGGAAGTTACAGGTTCTAGGCTAGCTGTCACTATATAGCAAGAGCCCCACCCCTTTCCCATACACACACAATACTAATAGGAAGATCCAGAAGTAGCCTGGTTTCACTTCCAGCTCGGTCACCTGTTCTCTAGAAGATAGAACACAAATGTCTGCGGGTTAAGCAGGGCCTTAAAAGATGGTGCTGTTGTTCCACATCAGACCTGGGGTCTCAGTGTAGTCTCCAGGAAATGGATGACCCAGACCTCAGCTGCTTCGCCCACTCAAAGAGGGACCACTCATTCTGACACTGGACATCCCACGGACTCAGTTATCTGAACGTCCTTTGAGAAGCAGACAGTGGCAGCAAATGAGGAGGTGGTTTTCTCCTAGCGGCACACTACAGTCATCCGAGGGAAAGGCAGAAAGCCTGTGAAGAAGTTTCTGTGAGAAGCATGCTCTGTGGGAACTCAGTCAAAACGCAACAGGTATCCATCACACAATGGGGAACAAGGCAGATGAGAACCTAGGTCCAAACAGTCGTCTCCTAGGTCTGGCGCCTTCTGCTGTGGACTGTAAGGGCTCCCATTCAGATAGCAAAGGTACTGTTTTAAGACAGGTTCACACTCCTGTAAACGGAGGACAATCTTACGCTGTCGTAGTACAGTCCTTTGGATGAGGCACCTCTGGCAGCAGGTAGGACAACCTGAACTTACATGCAAATGCAGCAAATGCCAGTGGAGAGACAGAGCAGCCTCCCAAGAGAACTTGGAAAGACTCACAAGGAACAAAGGCTTCAATTAAAGATAATACAGCCAGCTTTTCTGTAAAATACTCAAATATGCTTTATAGCTACATGCTTGCAGGGGGAGATCAGTTTCCACCTGTAAGACGCGCTTACCTGTTGTAGAGGAGAATGTCTGGTTTCCAAATCTGGCCATCTGGGAAGCGAACATTCTTCACTCCGGGGTACTCGGACATGTTCCACTGCAAATAGTGATCTGTCCAAGACTGACAAAGATGGAGCATTAGCAGTATGCTGTCCCCTGGCTTACTTCTATTTCTCGTAAGAAGTTGCCGGGGACGCTCAGAGCCCAAAAGAGTTCAGACATTATTCTATAAGTGGGCTGGCATCTATAAAGTGTGAGGAAATGGAGAATTAAATAATCCCTTCTAAAATTATCTAGAATGGCATAAAAGTCACATTTGGGGACCTGCTGTCACCGTGATCACATTCAGATGGAGGCATTAAAGCGAATTCCTTCTCACTGCACACCCCTAGGCTTAGGCTTCACCTCTTCTTGATGGACAGGTTACTTCTAACCAAATTAATAATGGTTCTGCTTTCAAAGTTTTCCCTAAAAGGGCATTTTGGGAAAAAAATAAATAAATTCACTTATTGAAACTGGAAACAAAACCAAACTATAGAAATGTCAGCTATTTGATAAAGCAGAACCTCTTAGAACTTCTGAGGGCATACTTAAATATGTGTGATTTTGTCTTATGGACAATGCTTTATTTTATTAATTTATATTTATTTTATATCCCAACCACAGCCTCCTCTCCCTTCTTTCATACCTTCCCTATTTCTCCCTGCTCCAATCTACCCCTTCTCTGTAACCACCCAGAAAGGGGCCAGCCTCCCATCTGCCTCAGCAAAGCCTGGCATATCAATCTGCCATAAGACCAAGCACCTCCCCCTATATGCAAGCTGGGAGAGGCAATCCAGCATGAAGAATAGGTTTCCAAGAGCTAGTCAGAGCACCAGGGATACCTCCTGCTCCCATTGCCAGGAGTCCCACATATAGAGCAAGCTGCACAACTGTCATATATATGCAGAGGGCCTAGGTTGGTCCCATGCAGGCTCTCTGGTGTTGGTTCAGACTCAGTGAGCTCCCATGAGCCAGGCTATTTGCTTCTATGGTTTTTCCTGCAATGTGCCTGACTCCTCTTCCATTTCCCACAATCCCTCTTCCCTCTCCTCAGCAGCCCCATGTTTGACTGTGGGTTTTTGAACCTGCCTCAGTCACTGGATGAAGGCTTTCTGATAACAACTTGAATAGTCATCAATCCAAACACAAGGGATGGTCAGTTCAGGCTGCCACGAGTCCTAACTGGGGCCATCCTTGTAGACGTGTGGAAGTTTCCCTCGCATCAGGCTTCTACCAAACTTTGTAAAGCCCCCCCTACAGTCATCTCTCTCAGCATGGACAATGTTTTTGACAGTACAAGCTGATACCTCAAAGTGGGCCTCAGCAGTAGAACACAGACACAAGGATGAGGACTCAGGAGCATCCACAAGTAAACTAACCCAGCATCAGGCCCTCCAGAATCATCTCTACCTCTGGAACACTTATAGTCCTTGCTCCAATAACCAGGTAACTCCAGCCATTCCCAGGGCCAAGACTGCAGAGCTATCACAAGTAGAGTCTCCTACTACTGGCAAGCAACCATCCTTGCTCCATTAGGTCTCAGGGCTGGCAGCAAAGGACCCATCAACAAGATCCAGACTTTTTAGGACTTACGAGTGTACTATACCTCCATCTAAACCAGTGTCCCCCGTAATCAGACACATTCTCATTTGTTCCCTGAAACATATCCAAATTATTTATGCTAAGATACATATAAATGCTTCAGTTGTATAGCAATCTCCATTTGATTTCTGACCACATGTTTGGTGTAACGTTATAAATCAATACTTAATCCCGAGGAACCAAGTTGTCAGAGCTATTGGATTTGGAATACACAGATGAGTGTGGTGGGTCTAGAGTTACGTATTCTGGCAACGAAGATCCATGGACAGGCCTCAAAGGTCTAGGCATCCTTTGGAAGGCAGATAGTGTTCTATAGTCCACTTCAGAACTGGAATAATTCGAAGTCAGAGAATAAGAGCTATTCACAACTACGAACCTCAGCAAACAAGGATGTTACATTAACTCAGCGTGCAGCAGCATCGCTGGGACATCAACACCTGCTCTGCTGGGGTCCACAATTAATGAGATTTATAGGAATTAGAGGAAGTTCTGGCCTCATTCAAGTGGTCTGCTGGGAGGTCCTGGATACCAGCCAAGCCATGTTGGTAACCGCCTGCTCCATCTGGATATGCTTGGTTCTATTCTCCCCTTCGTTTTTCTCCCCTGCTTTGGTATCAATGCACCTCTGTCTTACACTTCACCCTGAGACGCTGCTCTGAGTTAATCATGGTTACCATTTTCGTGACCATGGGAACTAGGGTTCCAAGAACTACCCTTGAGGGTGTGCTGGCATGACAGACAAGATCCCATCTCCTAAGCCTGATGACATGACGGCCAGAGGAGTTGGGAAGTGAAGGAAGAGTATTTAAGAGTACTTAGTGGGGGCCGGTCAAAGCTGACTCACACCTCCCATCTTTCCCATCTTGTCCTGTAGTCCCTGGTTTCTGAGTACACTCAGCTGTGGGTGTGCCACAGCCTTCTGGCAGGTGACATCACTGCTATGTTGCTTGTTCAGCACTGGTTGTGTGCCTCCTTGCTCACCACAATCCAAACTTGTCAATGGGATGACAGAAAAAAAAAAAAAAAGCTATGACACAGCTTCGTATTTAAGTTAACCACTGAATCAAGACTCAGTTGTATCATCAGACCTCAAAGAAAGAACCTTCAGGCTATCTCCGGTCTGGTTCTGCAAAAGTTTTCTCTGCACCCCAAGTGTTCCTCCCATAGCAACACAGACCAGATGCAGTCTCTGAAAGTGATCTGTACATTCTAATCTCCCTGGTGTCAAAGCCAACCTGACCTATGGGGCAGTGAGGAGGAATGGCTGCAAGCACAGAGCTGGGCTGAGAGAAATTTGCTTGGAGAATGGGTGAGCTGAATTATCTTCTAGTGTAAAACGTGCCACACCTACAAGCAGCAGGGTAAAATCATGTGGTCTTTACAGGCAAATGAAAAATGATGGATTTAGAAAATGATGCTTTCATTTTACAGGATACCACAGGACACAGCACTACAGTATCCCAAATACCTGTAGATACTATACACTTTGGTTGGATATAGGACTTAGAGGAATTGTATTAGAGCAAACCTAGAAGCCTCTTCTTTGAAGACTAGCTCTCATAGTATATGAAGGTGCTACACAAGTAGTCAAGGAAAAAAGCAATCAGTAGTCCTACCCAGCTGTAAAACCTGTAAACCACAATAATAACAAGCAAGGCAAGATAGCTCCAATGGTAAAATAGTAGTGCTTATCTCTTAGGAGTAACCAAGAGCTCTATAATTGGACTAAAGGCCCATTCAGTAGGAAGAAAGAGATTCATGCCTGGTACTACAAACCCAGTCAGCAACCCATGGCTAGTGACGTCATGGGCCCTAAAAAAGAACCTACTATTACCACGTGTCTAAACTGATATACTTTCTAATTGCATTCTAAATACTTAGGTTCATACTTACAGGTAAGTGTAGATCTCATCTCTTATCAAAGAAGCCTTTGTATAAAGCACACAGAGACCATTACAGAAACCAACAAAAAAAAACAGCCAAAAAGCAGAAAACAACTATTGGTGGTTTTCTAACCCCAACTGATAGCACCCCAGTGCTCAGGGAACATCACAGAAGATGGGGCAGAAATACTTACACCCCTTACTGACACACCAACATAGATAGGGGAAATCCTACTGAAGTATTTATCTAATTATTCTTTATCAATTGAAATTTTGGAGTTGGATATCAGCATAAGAACCTGAATGTTCAGGGAAGTGGCAGCCCATCCTGCTGACAGAGAGACAGCAGGTTCTTCTCCAGGAACCGGTCCCAACAAATCCTCTACTCGCCAATGGTCAGTACTAAACACACACATCCACATGAGCAACAATATATAGACCTGGTAAGTTTTACTCCTCCTCCCTCTCTCAGCCTCGCTCGTGTGTGTGTGTGTGTGTGTGTGTGTGTGTGTTTGTAATAATTAAAGTATAAAAGGTTAATAATTCTAAGAAGAGTGGAATAGGACACAGGAGATGTTGGAGGAGGATGGGTTGGAAATGATATAAATATACAATACTAATGCATAACATTCTCAAAAAATACAATTAAAAATAGTTTTGTTTCTTTAAAAATACATTGCACTGTAATTGAGAAATACATTTGGTTTTCTATGCATAGAGCCCCTCAAACTCTTATTTGAGTCTGAGTGAGCAGAATGTCTTTTGCTAAATTTGCTCCATTGGAGTCTATGCTACTGTAGCCGCTTTGAGCTCAGGACTCCTCACAGTTTCAGGAAGAAAAGTGGATTCCATGAAGGCAAACTGCCTGATGAGAATGGAAATGCCCAACCCCATCTCATCCTCCAGTCTGGAATCAGGAGATGGGATTGGGGATCAAGGGAGAGAAACTCCTGCACAAAGAGGAGGAGGAGGGTTTAAAAAAGCAAATTCATGAATCTGGAACGTTCCAGTGTTTCTATAAAAGCTGAAATGCCCTCTGTCATATCTTTTCACACTTTAGATCAAAGATGTCTGGCAGCCTCCCTAGCAATAAATCTCTGCAAAAGGATCTACCAAGTAGCTTTCTCCCAGGCTAGGAAGAGCAACTGGGAATCAGCAACTCTGTATTCTGCAGGCTGCTGGGATAATCTCAATCATGCGAAATGAAAGACACCTGGGGAAAGAACTAACAAAATCTGCAAGAGATAGGTCAAGGAGAATTCAATTTTTAAAAAACTTTTGTGAGTGTGGCATTTTGACTGGATTGAAAAATCTATAATTTGCAGAAAATTGACTTCAGAGTTGAAACACCCTGGAGAAAAGATTATGTGGATCAGATTTCAGAACAGAACTTAGTGAAATGAAGCTGCAGGAACTAAAGGCCAACGCTGAAAACCATTCCCTGAATATTCATCTAAGTCCTGCCTCACTCAGGCAACCCTCCCTCCTGCCCTCCCAGCTTCCCCGGGAACTCTGGTTCCGCTTCCTTTAGTATTGAGCTTCATTCATGAACACGTCCAAGACCAAGGCTGGGTGAGGCCAGGCAGGTGAGTGGCCAGGGAACACAGAAATTAGAATCAATGAATGTATGTTTATCAATTGTCCCAAGGAAGCTCCCATGCCTGCCCTTGGTGATAGGCAAGGCCTCAGTGTCTGTCCTGCAACCAGGACTTAATCAAAGCAACACCAGGTTGAGGCAAGGGTACAGAGACATAGGATTTTCATTTCTTAACCATTTATACTTGTTTTAAACCCAAGATTCTGAAGGAGCCTTGAAAATGCTGCGGAGAGGCACTTTCCAGATGAGTGCCATCACCCGGTCTCCTAAGGGCACTAGTTGCCTAGGGAAAGGCTTACCCTTCACTGATGCAGGGACAAACAGTAGTGAACGCACTGCCCATCTTCCCTTTAGAAGAGCTGGGCCTCTCTTTGTTTTTCATTTTGATAAAGCAGAGTTGTTCCCATCTGTGACCTACACAGTGTACCTACCCATTCTTAACAATATTCTGGAGAAACATCTGCACACAACTGCACATATTTATAAGCACAGTGTGCTAACACAGTGCAGGTATATAATGTATAATGATCGACTCAGGGTAATTAGCATCCTATCCCCTCAAACATTTATCAAGTCTCGGCGCTTGACCTTTTTTTTAAATGAGTTAATTACGCAGCCTGGTTGTAAATGGCTGAAAGAGGAAATGTGGCTAAGACATTTCTAAGTGCTCTCCCGTGGCTGTGGTCAATGCCTTCCACAGAGCAGGCTCTCCCAGGGACGGGTTCAATACGTACATGGAATTTTAAAAGCGAAACTAGACATTTCTGCAAACGCAACTATTAATTTGGACTAAGCTCTGTTTCAAAGAAATCTGAAGGTCTCTAGTGATACCCTTCAGAGCACCGGTGTTTATCAGTGGAATATCTGAGCTCAGTATGGTAATAGTTCCCTTATAATTTTCCTGGAAACCAGTTATCTTTAAAATTACTTGCCACATCTGCGACATTACTGGAGAGCAATGAAGTTCTGAGGGCCAGGAAAGTGGACATTGGGATAGATAGCTGTCCATCTGTCCATGGCATATTGTGACTCTGTAGACTGGCATGGTGGGGTATAATTCCAGCACCTGGGGGCCCAAAGCAGGAGAATCATTTCAAGTTCACAACAAGTACCTAGCCAACCAGGGCCACAAAGATAGAAGTGCTTAAAAAGAGAGGGGAGAAGGAAGGGATGGATAAAGGGAGGGAGGGAGGGAAGGGACAGAAAGGGAAGGGAAGGGAAGGGAAGAAGGGAAGAAGGGAAGGAAAGGGAAGGGAAGAAGGGAAGAAGGGAAGAAGGGAGGAAGGGAAGGGAAGGGAAGGGAAGAGATAGGAAGGGAAGGGAAGGGGTGTCAATAGCTGCTTTGTTCCTCACAGGTCCCAGGGAAACAGCCATCATCTCCCAGAGTTCCCAGAACTTAACTAACACACAGCATCCCATTGTGATGTAGGAGGAGCTGACTTTTATTTGGATCAACTTAGTCCCCACGCCCTGGGTTAATGAAGAGTTTTGGGTTTGTTCATTCCTTCAACAAAGGTTATTTCGTGCCTAATGCAATTGAGGCATTGAGCTAGGATCTGGAGGTACAGTGGGGCTCAACCCTGGCACACGAGAGTTGCTAAACGGGAGTGGGGAAGACCTGGAGGCAAGCAACGTATGGACAAGTGGGCACTAAGTATGTCAGAAGGAGAGAAGTTTATTGGAGGAAGAGAGCAGCGAAGAGGATAAAATGGGGACTGGAACACAGCTCAGTGGTAGAACATTGGCTACCATGCTCTTCTCTTCCCAACAGTGAAAAGAGTTGGGGGAGGGGCGATAAACATCACAGACTGAATACAGCATGAGAAGGTTTGGGAAGAAGCAAGTCAAGAGGTGGTGTTTGGGAAGACAGCAGAAGAAAGCAAGGGAACCCACCCATCAAGTGGTTCTCTGAGTAGAGAGAGCAGGGCATGCAAAATCCCAGAAGATCATCTGTAAGCAACAGGTATGGATAACATCAAGGCAGTGGGGAGCAGATCGGGAAGAAGGGTGCAGAGGGAAGGTAAGAGAGGAGATAAAAAGCAGGGCAGGTAACGTCGTTGGCTTCAGCTCTTAGCTTATCCAGAGAGACTAGAGCCACGGACGGGGAGGGATCTATCTGAGCCTGGAGGCATTCATCTTCACTTAGGTCACTGTGGCTGCTGTGCTGAGATCAGACACAACTGGGAGAGAATAGGAGGTGAATAGAATGGCTGGAAGACTACACTGATGGACATGAGAGAGCCAAACGTAGAACAGGGGAAGCCATGGGCTAGTGAACCACGGTTAGAGGCAGGATCTGTTTTGAAAGTTGAGCTACCAGAATTCTTGAAGGGTTCTACATGAAAGGCAGGAGTTCAGGGTGATACTGGGATCCCTGGTCTGAAAAGATGTGCTGGCATTTAGCCAGATTAAGGTGACTGTGGAAGAGGCAAGAATAGGAGGTGAGGGACGAGTGCCCTGGAGAATGCAGCTGCCATCCCCAGACATCACACATCCTGGCATAAACAAGAGAGGGGCACCCACGAGGGGGCGGGCTGTGGTTGTTTTAACTCCAGCAGGGAACAGTCTCAAAGCTCCACACTATTATTAGATAGTGAGAACCCTCAGTGGGACGGCTCTTCTGCAGCTACACGCACCTCCTGCACCTGCTTTAACTTCTCAACTACACATGGATTCTGTAGAAACCTCATCTGCCAAGGCCACCTCTGCCTCCACTATTACTTCTCTTGCCCCCTCCTACAAGAAAGACAGGCTCCCCTCAACTTACCCAATTCCTAATTTTATACAACTAACTCAAGAACCAAGCATGGGGCCAATCCACAGCAGTGGTGTGTGTTAACTGTCAGTCTAATGTTTTCAAAATTCAGATGGGGTTTAATTTCTTTAACTTTACCTTCTCAACAAAATAATGAAGGAAAAACTAATCAAACTGACAGCTGACACACATTTAAAGAAAACATTATTCTTGGCAGATAACCTGGAAATGTCAAGGAACTGAGTATCACGGCCACACAAATATTGCTTGTTACCAGTTCTACAGGTCCCTACATCTGCAACAAGGCAGTGACAGAACCAAGGGTCACAATTGAACTGGTTGCTCAGTTCTAGAAATAAAAAGTTACCTGTGGATGCGCAAGTCAATTTAAAATAGTGTCATATTTGACAGACAAGAACTTCCAACTAGAACTTTGTGATCCATATCACTTTGGTGAGTTATATACCAATAGTAGCATCCTTAAATCAGTTCAGAAGATTTTTTTAAAATATACTATGGCCTAAAGAAATGATGTTACATAAATACTTACTTTTTTATTTTTTCTTTTTTTTCTTTTTTTTTTATTTTATTGAGAATGGGAAAAAAAAAGTTTCCGCCTCCTCCCAGCCTCCCATTTCCCTCCCCCTTCCCCCCACTCTTCTCCCCTCCCCCCACCCCTCTCCCCCTCCCTCTCCAATCCAAAGAGCAGTCATGGTTCCCTGCCCTGTGGAAAGTCCAAGGACCTCCCCTCTCCGTCCATGTCTAGGAAGGTGAACATTCAAACTGGCTAGGCTCCCACCAAGCCGGAACATGAAGTAGGATTACTTTTGAGAGAAATCTAAGTAGAGCAATTAATGGAGTTGCAAATCTAAAATTTTGCAATAAGACAAAATCCTAATAAAAATGCGCTAGAAATGCAAGTGTAAAAATATGCATGGTGATGCTTCACAGAGCTTGGGGATGGTGAAGGAGGAGTATCGGGAGTTCCAAGTCAGCCTGAACCACATAACAGAGCCCTGTCTTAGAAAGGAAAGATAGAGCTGAAGAGATGGCTCAGAGGTTAAGAGCATTGGCTTTTCTTCCAGAGGTCCTATTCCCAGCAACCTCCTGGTGGCTCACAACCATCTATAATGAGATATGATAGCCTCTTCTTCTGGCCTATAGGCATACATGCGGGCAAAATGCTAGATATACAATTTATAAATAAATCTTTTAAGAAGAAGTAAAAGGAAGGAAGCTCAAAGAAGAGGGGGAAGATAGGAAAAGGAAGAGGGAGGAAAAAAAAGCAAGAAATGAAGACACAAAGAGGAAAGGAAACCATGTAAAATAAATAAGAGACAGGGGAGCTGTGTTTATAAGGATTATTTGTGCCCAGAATTACAGTGGTATATAAAGATTCCACCTAAAATAGAGGCTGACAGTCTTAAACCCAGATTCTAATATTTAAAATTTGATAGAACCTATATATTTACAGTTAGATGATTTAGATTAGAAATATATGTGTCAAATTAAAAATTTAAGGCTAAAATACATATTGAATATTCTTTTCCCAAATTCCTAATAGCCAAAGTGTTTTGGGGCTTGGGGGCTTGGTGATTTTGGAATACTTTGCATAGAGTTTGCTACATGAGCATCCCCGGCCTGAAAATTCCAAAGACCTCAAAATGGGAAACACTCTGAGTGTCACTTCGGCAATCAGAATGCTTTGGAGGACTTTCCAATCACCACATTTGACTCTCTGTATCCTTTTAAGACCCTCTGGGGACGCTAGAGCATGGAGTGTGAACATCCTGGCTAAGGATCCCTCAGCCTCCTTCAAATGTGCTGCTCCGGAGAATTTAGACAATGGAGAAGTTCTTATGAGCTAGGGAGCAGCTACCACACAGGTCATCCATCTCTAGGCGCAGCCCTGCATCTGATTATTTCTCTGGCATGGAATGCTTTTGGGATTCCTGAAACCATCCAGCAGTAAAAGACAAGCAACCACAGAGTCCTGCTGTTGACAGTCTTACGTCCTTGGTTCCAACCCATCAGACATGACAGTCTTCACGCAGTCAGTCCTCCAGCATTCTCAGCTGGCTGGGGTTGGGGCTGGGGTGGGATGGGGTCAGGGCACCAGCCTTAGGTCTCTCAGGAACTTCTTCCCATGCAATTGCAGTTCAAGCACATGCACATGGGGCAGAAACAGGCAGGCCCCACGGCAAGGGCTGCCTCTGCCTGAACTTACCATTTGCAGCCAAATGTTAGTGGTTAAAACTTGGTTCTTCTCATCCTTAAAAAAACAAAAAGAGAAGGGTAACATAAATATGGCTTCAGTGCTTCACTTTTTTTTTTTTTGGAGCTATGATACAATGATTTATGCCCAAATCTGACTTTGGGGATCAGTGTTACATGTGGAAATTAGAATGCACCATGCACTTCCAAATCTATGCCAGTAGCATTTCCCCAGAGGCAAGCTTTTCTATTTACCTGAAGTAATCCACATTTATTACAGAGCACTTACAACAGACAGCAAAATATAAAGAAGAAAATTAAAATCGGGCTATCCCGCCATCAGAAATGATGCCAGCTAAAGTCCTTGGCCACTTATCTTTACACTCCCCCAGGAAGAAGCGTGGTCACGGGGAGCTTTTGGCTCATATTTAGGGTCTAAATGGGCCATACACCTGCTTTATCTCTGCCCGGGGCTGGGTTCTTTCCTCTTTCTCTACCCAGCAGGCCACATGTCAGACCCCTGACACCCAAATAAATACAAGCAAGCGAGTAAACACAGGGCCAGGAAGGTAGGAACCTTACAAATACTTGCTCAACACACTTCTTTCTGATTTCAGAATCCATTTCTCCATTTCCAAAATAGGATCCAGCTGGGGTTCAAGTCTGCAGACCATCCAGGTGATTGGGAGAGCACAACTACCATGGTTGGACACTGAGCACCTCTTAGGTTTGGGTCTCGGGTGTTAAGTCTCCCCTGGAATGCTAAAGGCACCATCTTCACCTTGGCATTACTGAGAGGTAGTAGAGCCTTTACAAGATGGGTCAAATGGATGAAGTAGAACATACATTTTCCAGACGCATTAAAATGCCAGCCCTTCTTCCTCTTAGCTTTCTCTTTCTGGCCAGGAGTAGGTAGTTTCCACCATGATGTGCTTCCTCACTACAAGCCAAAAGCAAGGGAACCAACTTCTTAATGACTGGGACCTCAAAAACTGTGAGCCAAGCCTTTCCTCTTTATAAGTTCATTCTTTCAGGTGTTTATTCCAGCACCAGAAAGCCGAGTAGCACACCATCTAAAGGTGTCTCATCAAATGAGGTCCTTCCAATTGGCTTGGCACCAACTCTTTTTCACATAGCTGACTACTACAAGTGCAAAGGGATCCTGGAAAGATCACTCATTGGTTAAGATAACTGGCAGCTCTCCCAGAAGACTTAGGTTCTATTGCCAGCAGTCACAAGGCAGCTTACAACCATCTGTAACTTCAGTTCCATAGGATCCAATGCCCTCTTCTGTCCTCCCTGGCCACCTAGCACACAACTGATGCCTACACACACATGCAAACAAAACACCCTTCACACATAAGGAAAAAATTTCATTTAAAAATGTGCAAGGAGATAGTTACACTGAAAATGCTGTCGGTCAGTTTGGGACTCTCAATTCTAACTAAAGGCCTAAGAACATTAGCCACCAATACTCTCCAGGGAAAGTATTAACGAAGTCCTGCCAAGAAGTGGCTCCTTTAGTCATTGTATCAGGAACTGCCTGGCTGGGTTCACTGACAAAGACTCACCAAAAACCGACCCCTGGCCAAAAGCACGGGGCATCTACCAGGGTGGGGTGCAGTCAGTGGCTAGAAATGAACATGAGAATTGAATACTGTCCCTTGTGGAAATTAAAATATAGCCCACATATAAAAAATGATCAGCAAGGCTGATACATGATGTTCCTGTGCTTAGATGTTCATCTGCTTATGAAGACGTGATTATGAAGGTGCAATGAGAAAAGACCAAGCTGTCTGTGGGAGGGGCCTGGGACAAAGCACCATCCCAAGCCAGGATGAGTCCAAAAGAATCTGCAGTTTGATCAAAGCAAGAAACAAATCTACTTTACTAAAGTAAAATGTGCCACAGTGCTTAGTAGTAAACATTTGCTGGTTAACATGTCCCATGCTCTACAATGAGCAAATGTTCCCCGATAGTTATATACAGTTATATAGAGTTTGTGTGTGTGTGTGTGTACATACATAGAATTATATTTCAGGATGTCTATCTGTTGCCTCAAGTTATTAGGCAGCCATTGTTACTAATGGACTGAGAGTTAGCAAGAATTCCATTCAGGTGCCTTTTCTTCTTTTTAATTGTACTTGTGCCTGCCCCTCCTGAGAGAGGCTTCTGTGGTTTGGGAGCTCAATTACTACCAATCTAATTAAAAGCCTTTCTTCTTTCCAAAGTCTGCACAGAAACCTCATTAGAGTGACACTGGATTTCCTTGCTGTGTAGCAGCATGGGACCGAAGCACAGAGCCTCAGACTGTAATCAACAAGCAGCAGCCACTCACCACCTGGCAGCACAGCAATGCCAGCCAGAGAGGTCCACACCAGGCTGCAGAGGAAGTCCGGCGCCAGGCAGGATGCTGCCACTCTCCATCTGGATCTCCTCTTCTCCGGTCACCCTTGGTCAGGTGGCAAGGTCTCCCTTTCCTTCCCGCCACAGTATGGAGCCTCCGGCCCATGCGGGCACATGTGTGCACACTCATACATATACAGTCTACCAGTTTGCTTCCACAGGGGGATGCTGACTACAGCTCACTACACAGAGGGTCAAAACACAAGTCCATTGGGCATCACACAAGGCTTTTCTACAAGTTATGGACCAGCCAAGTTTGTATTCTTTCAGCAATTAATTGGTGCTGGTATTCCCACCACAGTCATTACACTGGAGTCGGGGGGCACAGCAGTCAGTCATACAGTTATACAGTTAGTGCTGGTATTCCCACCACAGTCATTACACTGGAGTCGGGGGGCACAGCAGTCAGTCATACAGTTATACAGTTAGTGCTGGTATTCCCACCACAGCCATCACACTGGAGTGGGGGGGGGGGCACATGCTGCTTCTTTGGTGGTCGGGGCTGGACTGGGAGGAATGGGCTTCCTCCTTCCCAGAATTGTGTTCTCATCGCTCCGCCTCTACTTCCTGTCTGGTTGACCCGCCTATACTTCCTGCCTGGCCAATCAGCATTTCTCTAAAACATATTTAACAGAATACAGACAATTCTCCCGCACCAGCATACCACATGTACCCTACAAGCAACAATGGCTCTAGTCTAGTTCTGTTATAACAAACACCATCAACAAGCTGGCTGTGGGAGCACATAATTATAATCCCAGAACTCGGGAGGTGGAGGCAGAAGATTCAGGAGCTCAAGATGATGCTCAGCTATGAGGTCGGCTTGATTTACACAAGACCCTGCCTCAAGAATAAATAAAGCAAAATATAATAAAAACAAAATTAAAGTTAAGCAGCAGCAACACTACTGAAAACATCATAAGCCTAGCCAGGCGGTGGTGGCTCACACCTTTAATCCCAGCACTCAGAAGACAGCGGCAGGTGGATTTCTGAGAGTTCAAGGCCAGCCTGGTCTACAGAGCAAGTTCCAGGACAGCAAGGCTCCACAAGAAACCCCGTCTCAAAACACCAAATAAATAAATAAATAAATAAATAAATAAATACATAAAAAAAAGCCACGAGGCTGACAAACAGCAAGTATTGTTTCTCAGTTTGGAGGTTGGATGCCCAAGGTCACTAAACCGGAGTGTGGCTCTGGTACAGCTAGTGAGGGCTTCAGATCCATGGAGAGATTTCTTCAAGCTACCATCTGGCTCTTACTGCCACGAGAGGCTGGGCGACACAGAGGGGCACAGTCTATCTCGGCTCCTACCAGCGCATACTACCCAGGGTTTCTCTCTTGGGAAATAACAGTAACAGCTACCACCAAAGCTTCCTGAAACGAGCGAGGAGCAGTGCCATCTAGTCGACAAGATGTCACTCGGTGCTAGCCGTTCTAGCAATTGTGGCTACATAGCTGTCACCTGATGGAGCCCTCCTGCAAGACAGAACCTGCAGCCCAGCACGAGCGCCCCACTGTCAGCCGACTTGCCCTCTGTCACTCTGTTTTAACCTGGGCACATCAGTGAAGAGCACCCTTCAATTTGTGTGACATGCTTTTAAGGAATCCACCTTAAATTATGGTGCATCTAATGCAGCCTGCAGAGGGTTCCGATGATGTCTGCCACGCAGTCTCACATTTCTCCAGCCGTCGCTCCTTTGGGAGTTACGAGGAGATGATACTCCACAGTATTTTACAAAGCTCTGAGAAAAGCCGTATATCAACCCCGTCTAAACCCTAGTTTCAGAAAGATATAAATTCACATTTGCTTAACGCTCTTATAGTTTATAACAAACCTGACTTATTTTATCTCTTTTCAGCCATGCTTTTATCTGAGACAACCCAACAAGGCTAGTTATTATTTTAAGTAACTGAAAATGTGCAGGTGGGCTCCCAAATTTCATTTTCTATGCCTGTTTGTTTTTGAATGCTTTTATATGAACATATACTGCCTTATGACCAAGAGAAGGTAATGCATCCAAGCGTCAACTGTGAGACCGTGAGCAAGCCTCTGGCCTTGGCTCACACAGTTAAGGCAGAAGGTGAGCTGTGCACTCTGATAATCCCATCACTGTGTAGGCTGGCACAAAAGAATCAAGAGTTTGAGAGTAGCATGGCCTACAGATTTAAGACCCTGTCTAAAGAAACGTAAGCGGAGATCCAAATCATCTATCTCTTTGACCAGATATTATGTATTCTGAACTAAAATATCTTCTTGAGTCCATGTTGCCACAGTGAACACTTTGATAATGTTTGATTTTATATCAACAACAACAACAATAACAAAAATATTGACACTTGATATCGGTTCCAGACAGAAGATCTCAGAGAGCAATCTGGGATGCCTTTAGGGTAATAGTTCTCAACCTGCGGGTCGTGATCCCTTTGGCAAACTTCTATGTACAAAAAAATGTTTACGTTAAGATTCATAACTGTAGCAAACTGCAGTTATAAAGTAGCAATAAAAATAATTTTATAGTTGGAGTCACCACAACACGAGGAACTCTTAAAAGGTCGCAGCGATAGGAAGGTTGAGAAGCGCTGCTCAAGAGACTCAGCGAGGTTAAAACTTCTTCATAATCGTGACATATTACTTCCCTCTTTCCTCTTTT